CTGCCATTTTTGCTGCGGCGCCCAGGGATTCTATTAATGTGGAAAGAATGTTTGTTCATAACTTTGAGAAAACCTTGCCAGAATCCCGTGAACGTTGTCTTAGAACCTTTTCTATATGCAAATTGTATGAAATTATTAGTCCGTGAGTAATCTAGTACTCCAGTGGTAATCTAGTGGTCATGTGATTTCAACATAACGGAAACCCACTTTATATAGAATAAAATATGAGTTTATTTTAAACAGGGTTTTCAAAGGTTCAATTAATTTCTTTGGCTACATTTTTGTGGAAAGTACAGAAATGAGCTTTTAAGTAAATATTCTGCTATTTCATTTTAGAAAATGGGCTAAAAAACATCTCAGTGATGTCTTGACATTACAAACTTGATTGTGAATTGTTGTGCCAAAGCTTGAAATGACTACATATCAGCAGACTTGTTAAGTTTCAAGGCACTAAACTCAAGTTACGCTAACATGCATGACTAATATCTCTTCGAGTAGCTGACACACACTAAGCTACCCAGCAGAGAATCATCATACTTTATTGTTAAATGTAACATGTTGACACTGACTGACCTCCTCCTGACTGCAGGCCTCATGTGAAAAGACAGTGTGTCGTCAAAAACAAAATAGCACCTCTAGTCGACTGACTGCTGTGATGCACTGCAGGCCTGAGAAATGTCTTTCTCAGAATGCAAGAGAAAGGTAAAGGTTGAGCATTTCTGCATTCTTCATTTATGGGTCACAATGGTTTAGTGCTTTTAACATGGTCTGAGCCATGCACGTCAGTCTGCCTGAGGCAAAGAAGAGGTTTGAGCTCCTAAAATAAAATCAAGTACTGCCTGTTTGGCAGAATGTTGCAAGCCAATCACAGTAAAATGAACGATGTCAGACAACATGGGGACAGAAAACTTTTTAAAAGAGTTTAATTAAAAACTCTGAGTTTATCGTCGGTACGATTTTTTATATTTTAAATTAAGTTTCTTATGCTCACCAAGGCTGCATTTATTTGATCAAAAATATGGTAAAAACAGTAATATTATGAAATAATATTACAATTTAAAATAATTGTTTTCTATTGTAATATATTCTAAAATGTAATTAATGTCTGTGATGCAAAGCTGAATTCTCAGCAGGCTTTACTACGTTCTTCAGTGTCACATGATCCTTCAGAAATCATTGTGATATTATTTGCTGCTCAAGAAACATTTATTATTAATATTTTTGTGTAAACTGTTACAGTTTTTCAGAATCCAATGATGAGTAGAAAGTTCAAAAGAGTAGCATATAATTGAAATAGAAGACCAAAACATCATAAATAAATATAACATACTAATACACTTTCATAGGCTGCTGGAAGGTATCTGTATATGTTTACTTTAGTAAGCATTGTATGTAATGTATTTGTCTCTCATGTGTTGTTGTGTGTGTGATTTTCTATTTGTGAAAACTTTATTTGTGAAAAAGTTCTTGTACCAAAATAAATAAATAAATAACAAATCTTAAACCTTAAATTCCCACCTACATTATGAGCTTATACTCAATTAATAGTTTTCTGATATAAGGTATGTTTCTGCAATCTGTTATTGACACTGTGTGTGTGTGTGTGTGTGTGTGTGTGAGACAATTAACTCTGTTGCTTTAGTTTCTTGGCAACAGGCAAATCATCAGTAATTTCTCTCTGGTTCAAAGATAAAATCATTTGTTACCATCGTGTTCAATATTTTCATTATGGTGAATTTCCAATCTCATCTCATTTCTTTATTATCACAGACATCCCTGTGGTCACGACTCTAATACAGAAGCCTTTTGTGCAGCTGATATCAGGATGGAGTGGCATGTTTGTTTTCTCCGATAATGCAGGCTCATATGCACACAGAACCCCATGTTCTCCAAGATTTACATCACAGCAAACACGTGTCAAATCATAAGTCTTTCCTCTATGGGGGTAGAATTGTTGCTTTATTCCAAATAAATAGATTATGATCCACAAATAAATGTAAAGAGATGAACAAAAATTAAACATATTGACGAATAAATAGAATGAGATCCACAAGTAAATCTTGAAAATAAATTCGTGATCGCAATGCGTCCAATGCAAATAAAAATCATCATAATCAGTCTGCACTGGATGAGGTGACATAGGACTTTTAAAGCACAATTGCGGTGACAAATATATGGCATAATAAAACGTATAATATCAAATAGCCTCAGCATCACTGCAGTGTGTACTGGGGATTTGTGAGTGGACCATGTAAAATTTGTATCCAGCATTGTTCCCATAGCCGTGATTTAAAGCGCTGTTTCTCTGGCATTTTCAATGGCACGTTAATTATAATCCTGTGGCTTGGGTTGACACACAATCTAATGGTCTAACAAAACGTGATTGGCTATAGTGAGAACGTGCTACGATTGGTCAGCGAAGTGAGGCTGTTATCTGATTGGCTTGAGTAGACGGTGGGGGAGTCCATGCATTTGTGGATTGGTGTGTGTCTCGATGCTAGAAATGTTTCAAAATCCACAAATGCACAGCTAGCGATCCACAAATGGGTGCAGCGATCTACAAATGCACGGGACGCGATTCACAAATTAATGCCAGGCAAAGTTGTGTTTGTGACTTAAAAAGATATTTGTGAACATGTTTTTTATTTGCAAATCTAATTTTATTTATTTGTGGATCTAATTCTATTTATTCGTCAATATGTTTGATTTTTGTTAATCTCTTTACATTTATTTGTGGATCATAATCTATTTATTTAGAATAAAGCAACAATTCTACCCCCATATTCTGCACAGGCCCCTCCCACGATAGTTGATTGACTTACCTTAGACCCGCCTTGAGTGAGCTGTCATCAGTCCGCCATTGTGTCGACTCCGGTGCAGGGGAAGACAAGAACGTCTCCGATTAAGCGACTGAGGTGTTTTGTTGTTGGATGTAATAATGAATATAGCTGTCGTCATTTACTCCGGACATCTGAGCCGCTGAAGACGCAGAGGATTAAGTTACTTTCGTTTTGAAGGGAATGCGCCGATCCCGATTTGCCTAAATGCCTCTATGTTCGCGCAATTCATTCATGATCCAGCTTCATCAACAGAAGAAGTGAGTATAAGGGTTTTTTATGAATCTTTGCAAATCACCTTTCCTAATAACTTGATAGTTTCGCAGCAGAAGTTTACAGTCTGCTCCGTCACCCCACGGAAGAGAGGGGTGGGGTCAGCAGAGCTCATTAGCATTTAAAGCAACATGGACTAGAATGGCTTGGTGATAACAGAGCTAATTTTGACAGGGTAAAAAAGGTTTTTTACACTACCATTGAGAAATTTTAACCAAATTATGTTATAGACTTTTCATTAAGACCATAAAGAATCATATCAACTTGTGGAAAATGGGCATCCGATGACCCCTTTAAACCTATTGGAAATGTCTTTTATCAGTGATACTGCTTGCTGTGCACTCAAATGCAACAAACGAACCAGAGAAATCACTCCTGGCAGGCCTCGTGTCCTTCTGCACCACTTGTTTTTATGAAAAGTGCACAAGTTGAATTGAAAACAACAGGAGGCTGGGATTGGAAGGGGCAGAGAGGCAGAGGTCAGAAGTGTCAGAGTGAGACGTATGACTGGATGTCTGGAGGCAGTGAGGCTCACACACTCATGTGCGTACACACAATATGGCACACACACACACACACACACAGAATTAGACAAATCTCTCACTGAAAGTCACGATTTCACCTTCACAATGGCAGTCAGGTGACTGGAAGTAAGATTTGGGTGGTCATGTGCTTGGCAACACAGACTTTTATTTGTCCGTTATGTTAGAAACAATATGGCATATCTGCCAACCAAGGGCGTATGTTATTTTATTTTTTATTTTTTTCAACATCGCTAGGGACTTTTTAAAATCAAAACACACAGATATGTTTCTACATACCAAAATTGCTTGTATGAGCTTTTTTAAAAAACATTTTGAAAGCCTGTTCCCGTGCTCTCATTTTCACTTTGAAAGGCCTACTTTTTACACTTTTTATGTAAAGAAATATTGCATGGCAACATACAGTTTCTCTCTCACACACGTAGTAATGGCTATTGATAAAAAGAAATGTCCATCTGATAAGGATATTGCCTCTGTCCCTGGGTGTTGACAGTGCAAGAATATATTTCTCAGTGATTCAGATCACTTTCATTTCCTCTGGTCTCCTGGACCGACCTTTGTAACATTGGAACATGTGGTCTATGTGTATTATGCCGTTGTTTTGTTTTGTTGGGTCAGTACATTATAATGCATATGACTTTAAATAAAATATTTGTTCATATACCACGTATTATTAGTATTGTAACTGTGCCATAACGGGAAGATGCATGCAAACCAAAGGCTTTTGCATGAGTTGCACGAGACATGCATGTTAACTAGTGTCATTTCTGAACTTCTGACGCTGAGGAGATGGGTGTCCGAGCTTCATGTAGGTCAGGGCCTGTGGGGGTGATCACTGATCATATGGCAAACGAATGTAAGCTGTTACAGTTCACTCTGTTAACACATTCTACATTGTTCGGGGGAATGTAGAGGCTATTCATATTCATACATGATTTGACATTTATACATCCTTTACTGGCAAAGTAAATAGCAATATATATATATGCAGAGCACAAATATGACATAACGTGTCTTATGTCACTTTCAATTATAATTGATGTAATAATGATATAAGTTGTTGTTTTTGTATATTCAAGAGAAATATTACCTAAACCCCCTGCTGTTTGATGATGTGAATTTTTTTTATTGTTTTATTTTATTATTATTTAAATTAATTAGTTAATTAATATATTTATTATACCATTTCCATCTCTAGGAAAAAAAACATATTAAGGAATTTAGGAATAAAGGAATTTAAACATATCTTATATTTACATATTTGTGAAGTTTTATCAGTGCAAACAAGTTTACAGCATCTTCCCCAGACCAGCAAGTGGCGCTGTAGCGCAGCAGTGTTAAAAACAAACCATCGAGAAGCGTGTTGTTGGCGGAAGTACTTGATACGTCGGTCTTGTAGTTCATTCAAATCTCCATGTGGCTGTAATTGTCGCGCTTAAGTCAGTCTGTGTCTTTTAAAAATATCAAAATGGGTAAAAAGGGCAAGAAAGAAAATAAAGTGAAAGGAGCGGTGAAAACAGCCGCGAAAATGGAGAAAAAGGTGTCGAAAAGGTCGAAAAGAGAGGAGGTGAGTGAATTTGTTGCTTAAGATGCCACCATTAGCACTCTAAACAGTAAACCAACACAGATATCATAGCTTTATTCTGAATTGTATTGAATTAGGAGGATTTAGAGGCTTTAATTGCAGAATTTCAGTCCCTGGACGCGAAAAAGACGCATGTGGTGGAGACGTCGTGTCCCCCTCCGTCCCCCAGGTACGCGTTCCTGTGTGCAGCTGTGGATCACGTGTCTGTAACCGTGACATTTGATTGACAGCTCGCTCTCCCCGCAGGTTGAACGCCTCTCTGTGTGCGCATCCCGAAAAAGACGAGCTGCTTTTATTCGGAGGGGAATTTTTCAATGGGAAGAAAGTAGGTACCCATAAATGTATAGCTATGTTTTGGAGCTGGTTTCTTTCTGGTCTTAGATGATCGCTAGCTGTTCAATCAGCTGTCATGTTCCAAAAATCATCTTGACCAACTTAAGCCTGTTATGTTCCTGTTGTAGTCCTCGTTTGTAAGTCGCTTAGGATAAAAGCGTCTGCTAAATGAATGTGTAATATAAAAATGTAAGCTGGTATGACCATATGGGATGGTCTATCAGGTAATGACCAGCTTAAAGGGACAGTTCACGAGAGTGCTGTATATTCACTCCCCCCACCTACAATCCCTGCTGGTTGAGACTCGAACCCGCAACCTTTGGGTGACTTTCTAACCATTAGGCCATTGACTTCCATAGTAGGGAAAAAAATACTATGGAAGTCAATGGCAACCACCAGTTCACCATTTTCATTTTTGGGTGAACTATCCCTTTAAACTAGAAACCAGCTACTGGTTTAAGTTGAATTTTCCAAAAGTGTTAATTTCCCTTCCAGTATTTTGCGAAGGTTTGAGAAAAACAGTGTAAAAATAAAATCAATAGATAATTTAATTCATTCTTTGAAATAATAATAAATTAAATAATACAAAAATTAGTAGAACGTAATAGAAACATATTTTCTAACTAATATTTTACACACGCAACCACCAGTTCACCATTTTCATTTTTGGGTGAACTATCCCTTTAAACTAGAAACCAGCTACTGGTTTAAGTTGAATTTTCCAAAAGTGTTAATTTCCCTTCCAGTATTTTGCGAAGGTTTGGGAAAAACAGTGTAAAAATAAAATCAATAGATAATTTAATTCATTCTTTGAAATAAATAATAATGAATTAAATAATAGAAAAATTAGTAGAACGTAATAGAAACAGTCCCTCAGTTGTTCTTAGTGTGAAAAGATGGTTCTCAAAACCATACAGTCATTGTTGGAAAGGTTTCAAATATGCAAAAGATGCTGGAAAACCAAAGAATTTGTGGGACCTGAAGGATTTTTCTGAAGAACAGTGGGCAGTTTAACTGTTCAGGGCAAATAAGGGACTCATGATCAACTAAAAAAATCAGCTGTGGATCATCCAGGTAACCACACAGTATTAAGAATCAAGCATATGTAAACTTTTGAACGAGGTCATTTTTATGAATTTAATTGTCATCTTCTCTTGTGGACTATATGTAAACATCTTTTATGTGAAATATCTGGTTCAGGTCAGTACTAAATAGAAAATAACATGCATTTTGTACGATCCCTCTTATTTTGGTAAAATAATTAACATTTTGCAGATACTGCAAAGTGTATGTCAAATTTTGACCACAACTGTGTGTGTGTGTGTGTGTGTGTGTGTGTATATACATACACACACACGTGTGCGCGTGCGTGCATTACAATAAAAAAACAACACAATTACTAAAACTTTAACTAAAATTAAAATTAAAACAGAAAGTACAAAAATGAAAACTAATTCAAAATATTCATTAATTATAATAGTGTCTCAATGAGACTAAAATAACTTTGGAAAAGTACACAAGCCATTCAGTGAGACTGAATTCTTTAAGAACCGGAAGTGTAATTGTATTTGGTCTTTATCCAGATGACTTAGCAGAGACTTTAAGATCGTGTCCACCTGTGTTTTGTCGTCATGCTGTGACTAGAGGTTAGAGAGGTCTAAACTAACAGGATTGACTTTTGACTTGGCATCCTTGCCGCTTATTGAAATATGTCCTCTTTGTCCTCTCAGAGCTCCTGGTGCCCCGTCTGGCAGGAGTGGACATCGCATGGTCCTGAGCAAACGACAGCTGCTTGTGTTTGGAGGTTTCCATGAGAGCACCAGGTATAGGCAGTTGCAGATCTTCCCAACTTCAACTTGTCTAGTAATAAAATCAATATTATAAGGAAAATGATGAGGGGGAAATTAATGAGATCTTTGCCTCTCAAAGTTCCAGACAATGTGTATAGATGATTTTTGGAATCCTGTAAATTATTCCTGTATTTAATTATCATTAATTTTTTTAATAAAATGTTAATTTGAATATTGTGATGAATATTGTAATGTAGATAATATATATATAATTTTATTTTTTTTATTTATATTATTTACATTACTATATATATATATATATATATATACACACACACACACACGTTGTATTTAAAACGTTATGCTCTTTGAATATTTTGCTTTTGTGACGCATATGTTCTCTGCTTTACAGGGATTATATCTATTATAATGATATTCACGCTTTTAACCTGGACACGTTCACATGGAGCCGTCTCCAGCCCACAGGAACTGGCCCCTGTCCCCGTTCAGCCTGTCAAATGACCCCCACTCACGATGGCAGTGGCGTCATTATCTACGGTGGATACTCCAAAACGGTATGTGTTTTGGTGATTACTGTGATTTTTATTCATATACACTGCAATTGGTTCCTCAGATTTTACACTTATGTTAATCAATGAATTAATGTTTTTTTTATTTTTTATATTGTATTACATTTTATATTGAGGTTTTCTTTTTGCATGGGTTAGATTTTTAGATTTTAAACTTTTGAAAGAAATTAGGCTAATACTTTTATCCAGCAAGGTTGCATTAAATGGATTGAAAGTGACAGTTTACAATTTACAATGTTACCAAAGGTTTCTATTTCAAATTAATGCTGTTCTTTTTATTTTCATCAAAGAAAAAAAAGTATTAAATTTTTTTTAAATGAAAGTATATTGTTTTCACAAAAATATTAAGCAACACAACTGTTTTCAACATTGATAATCTTAGGAAATGTTTCTTGAGCAGCAAATCATTCATATTGGAATGATTTCTGAAGAATCATGTGACACTGAAGACTGGAGTAATGATGCTGAAAATTCAGTTTTGCATCACAGGAATAAATTACATTTTATGTTAATTTTAATGGTATTTTATGTAATGATAAATATGATAAATATAAAACTGTTATTTTAATATATAATAATATTTCACAGTATTACTGTTTTTCCCGTATTTTTTTACAGTTAATATAGTTCATGAAATCAATATGGTGATGGTATTGTAATATTATGGTACTTTCGATCTATAGGTACTAAAAATACAGTGGTACTACTATAAATCATGTATAAAAAAACATGGTATTATCATGGTATATGTAAAAACACTGTGGTAGTACTTTGTCCAATAAATCCTACTGATGTCCGATTGCATGAATAGCTAACAATAGTTTAATTTGTATGGCCATAACTATTTGTTGCATGCTCATGTAACAAAATACATAATCTTAACAATTGAATTGACGATGGTTAATTTTAGACGCTTAAAATGGGGATATTGAACATCCTTCCTCCATCTATAGACATGGCCTTTCAGGTTAAAGCGTAATTGATTTAAAACTGTTCACGCCTTATATGTCCATCATTAGTTAAGCTGTGTTACACTTAGCTTCATTTTGCAAGAGCATGTTGATGGCAACTGCAACTGCTCCACACAGCGAGTGAGATAGTGTGTCATTTCCAGGAGCTTGTCCTTGAGTAAACCCACGAGAGTAAACAGACGTAGGTGGTAATGGCTGCCTTTCTTTTCCAGAGAGCGAAGAAGGATGTGGATAAAGGAACCATCCATTCTGACATGTTCCTGCTGAGGAGGGAAGGCAAAGAGGAGCAAGGTACCATCATTTGAGCCTCTACGGTCATCGCTTGTTTAATGTGGGATGGTTTTCTCTCCATTTCCCTTTTTTGTTTGGACGATCCACTTTCTTTCCCATGTCTGAAAAAAGATTTGCTCATAATTTTTCGCTCCTGTCCTGCAGAAAAGTGGACGTGGATGCGAGTGAACCCTTCAGGAGTCAAGCCCCCTCCTCGGTCTGGCTTCTCTCTGGCAGTGGGCCCCGGGGGCCGGGCACTGCTCTTCGGTGGCGTCTGTGATGAGGAAGATGAGGAGTCTCTGGAAGGAGACTTTTTTAATGACCTTTACTTTTATGATATCAACAAAAACCGGTGGTTTCCTGCCCAGCTAAAGGTTTAGTGTTATGTTTTGCTTTAGTAAAGCCTCTTAATAAAGCCCAAAAAACATTCATATATACATTGTCTTTTTCTTGGTAGGGCAACAAGTCAGAAAAGAAGAAGAGGCGCCGTGGAGGCCGGGCACTGCTCTTCGGTGGCGTCTGTGATGAGGAAGATGAGGAGTCTCTGGAAGGAGACTTTTTTAATGACCTTTACTTTTATGATATCAACAAAAACCGGTGGTTTCCTGCCCAGCTAAAGGTTTAGTGTTATGTTTTGCTTTAGTAAAGCCTCTTAATAAAGCCCCAAAAACATTCATATATACATTGTCTTTTTCTTGGTAGGGCAACAAGTCAGAAAAGAAGAAGAGGCGCCGTGGGAAGAAAGGAGAACAGATGAATGAAACTGAAGGGGAGAAAGAGGAGGCACAAGGTCCCACTGAGATTATTAAAGAGATCGTGGCTGAGGATGGAACAGTTATGACCATCAAGGAAGTGATTCCAGCCGCACAGGCAGAGGAGGACAGTGAGGAGGAGGAGGAAGAGGAGGAGGTTGACGAAGACGAAGAGGAGGAGGCGGCTGCAATGGCTCCCCTGGTGGAGCCCTGTCCTCGCTCCAGCGCCATGGCAACGGTGAAGCATGGCAAGTTGTACTTGTATGGCGGAATGTTTGAGGTGGGAGATCGACAGTTCACACTCTGCGATCTCTACAGCCTGGACCTGCATAAGATAGACAAGTGGGATGTTCTAGTGGAAATGGACCCCAGTAAGTGGAAACACAGCCCAGAATTCCCTTATATTCATTCAGGAAAATACTATCTATCTATCTATCTATCTGTCTATCTGTCTGTCTTGCTCTTTCGTCTGTTTTGCTGTCTGTTCTTGTTTTGCTGTCTGTTCTTTCGTCTGTTTTGCTGTCTGTTCTTTCATCTGTTTCGCTATTTGTCTGTCATTCTTTTTTCTGTTTTGCTATCAATTTGTCTGTCTGTTCTTTCATCTGTTTCGATATCTATGTATCTATTGTCCTGCTGTGCTGTTTGACTCTGTCTTGCTGCATGTCTGTCTATCTGTCTCTTTGACTATCTATATATCATTTGTCTGTCTGTCATCTTCTGTCTGTTTCTCTGACTGTCTATCTAACATTCGTCTGTCTGTCTGTCATTTGTTCTATCTATCTATCTATCTATCTGTATGTCTGTCTGTCTGTCTGTCTGGGTGTCTGTCTGTCTTGCTCTTTCGTCTGTTTTGCTGTCTCTTCTTGTTTTGCTGTCTGTTCTTTCGTCTGTTTTGCTGTCTGTTCTTTCATCTGTTTCGCTATTTGTCTGTCATTCTTTTTTCTGTTTTGCTATCAATTTGTCTGTCTGTTCTTTCATCTGTTTCGATATCTATGTATCTATTGTCCTGCTGTGCTGTTTGACTCTGTCTTGCTGCATGTCTGTCTATCTGTCTCTTTGACTATCTATATATCATTTGTCTGTCTGTCATCTTCTGTCTGTTTCTCTGACTGTCTATCTAACATTCGTCTGTCTGTCTGTCATTTGTTCTATTCATTGTTCGTTCTATTGATTTATCTATTTATCATCTGTTTGTCAGTCTGTCAGTTGGTTTCACTGTCTATCATTTGTTGTAGCCATCGTTTGTTTGTCTGTCTGTTTCGCTATCGTTCTGCCTTTCGTTCTCTCATTTGTTCTTTCGTTCTATCTATATTCTGTATTGTAAATTAGTTATTTTGTGAATTTCAATGCTTTCCTTTTGTTAGGTGCTGAAATATTTATATCAACCCTTTTTTTCTGAGAATGACAAAAATTCTCATTGACTGCTGTTTAAACTGTAGCATCACATTTGCGTGTTCAGTATAATCATGTATAATATGTCAAAGTATGTGGGTATTGCCACACTTGAGCACCGACTTCTCTTTACAGAGACTCAGGAGTGGCTGGAAGAATCAGAATCAGAAGAAGAAGAAGAAGCAAAGGGGGGTGAGGATGAGGAAGAGGGGGAATCCGAAGAGGAGAGTGAAGAAGGTCTGTATTTCGGAAGTGTCAATTTAATTTTGCAGTTCAGACGCATTTGTGACAGTGTCAAGTATTTAGATAGTAAGTTTAATATTTACTTTCAAACAGTTCAAAATTATGCCTATTTAAGAGATTCAAAGCCATCCATGAGGGTGGACACATACATTTTCATTTAATGTTCAAGGCCATGATTTGGGTCTGGTCCATGAGGTAGACATGAGCAGATGACAAAGGGTTTATCTGCCAAGACCCAGGTCAACATCCACTGATTCTTTTTGACAACCAGAGCTGTGTGTTTTGCTTTGGGATCCTTCTCGCTTACATTCATTATTGTTAGATGCCTGTTTCGCTTGTCAGTTGTAATAACATCACTGATTGTTAGCTTGTGGCTGCTTCATGGTTTGGTAGCATGCTAAACAAAGAGACTTTGTTGCCTCATCATCCACATCGGGGGCGTTTCGTGTTCAGAGTATCTCCATTTCAGTACTTCAGGTCCCGGATTTTACATTGGACATCAAGTGGTGATAACAAAGTTGTTTAGGAGAACCAAAAAGTTTTTAGATTTTGAAAGAGAGCAGAAATAGTCATCTGGACAGGTGTTGACATTTTCTCTGTATCTCTGTATCACTCTGTCAGATGCAGACCATCCTCCAGTAAAGCCTGGAGAAGCGCTTGCGGATTATCAAACACGGACTGAGAAGTACTGGCTGGGTCTGGCCCGAGCCAACATGGGTCCTGATGCCAAAGAGAAGAAAGTACAAAAGGTCGGCCACGCCATGGCCAAAGTGTTCTTTGAAGATCAGGAATGAGATTAAATGTGTGTGTGAGTATGTGTGTTTGAGAAGATAATTAAAGGGTTTGTCTGTGATAAAGAGAATGGATATGTGTTATCATATATATATATATTAGCAAGCTGTGTGTGTGTCTGAAAGTGCACAAAAGAGAATGATTGGATGACTTTTAATGTTTAAAAAACATGGCCTTACTCTTTTCTCACTATTTTGTCATGTGTTTTTTATTATTAATAAGGGAAGCTGAACCTCAAAGTAGTTTCATTATTTGCATTAAGCGTAGTTTTTTTTCTTGCTTTCCATAACCCTTCCTAATCAGACTCGGAAGGAAACGCCTTAGGTTGTGACCACTGCTCTAAATCGTACTATGTTAAGCAAAATTCCATAATATTTGATCAAATTATTTTATTATTTAGTGCAAGCAAATTGTTTACTACCAAAGAATTATATTTTGAAAGAAAACAAACAGTATTATTTTTTTCCTTTAAAATTGTCATTACCATCTGAGTTTTTTTTTTTTTTACTGAAAATCTCGTTATTACAGTATTTAACTTTTTTTTACTGTACTTTATTACTGTAAAAATACTGTAATACGATTTTTTAAAATTAAAATCCAGATAAAAATTATATGATTTCTATCTTATGTAAATGCATCGGAACCAGACAAATTGTTACTTTGGTAACCGATACGGAGAAATACTGAAAGGCCAAAAAAATAAAAACAGACTCAATAACCACAACAAGAGCTTACTTTCAAACACTTTCATTATTTTCTCCATATAACTAAAAAAGAATCAGACCCCCAGGAAAAAAGTAAAGAACTGAATGATAGAAGAAGAGAAAGAGAGAGAGATAAAAGAACTGGGCATGCTTGGGCATGCTATAGGCGCATAGGGTGACGGATACATCCAGGTCAAACGGTATAAGTGCGGGCGGTGTGGGTCAACTGCAGCAATTTCCTGCTTCAAAAACCCTTTGGAATCCCACCATCCCCGTCACACACAGTCGTTGTGGTATCAAAGTGAGCCAGTCAGCGAGTTTGTGAAGTTCTTGGACCAACCCAAGGACCCGAGTTGAGCAAATGTACAACTCCATACATTTGGGTCCCTAGCTTGTGTTTCTGTACATCAGCATAGTTGTCATTTGTATGTTTCATTTTTCTGGTCTTTTTTTCCCGGCTGGATAGAGAAACGGAGAAATATGGGGAAGGAAGGGAGGTGGGCGAAAAAGAGGGAAAAGAGTACACAAACTGTGAATGAATCATTGCCAGGAGGACAGACTCAAGGGGGAAAGTACAAGCCCATACACACATGCTATAAAAACATCTCAGTCTTTGCGTTCTGTTAGCTGGCTATAAAAAAAAGAAACAAAACACCTCTCTTTGATTGTTTGTTTCACTCGTTTTAGTTTCGTCTTCTGATTTTGGGGAGGAAAGGCTGCTAGATGCCAAGACCAGCACTTAGACCACAAATTCATCATTGGCATGCCCGATCAGACCTGTTCCATTGTGTATCATGGCGTTGGCCAATAAGGTAAACGATTTCAACACACACTTATGACAGTTTGTAGGTATGGTGGTGAATTTGTCCAATCTCATTCGTAGGATCTGCTTACGTTCCTTCGAAGTGCGTTCTCATGGTGAAATTTTACCTACGAATGCTACGTTTTTCGTACAAGTCAGATCGTACAAATTCATACAAAATCCCCAATTCGTACAATCGTACAAATTCGTACAATCTCACAAATTCAATTAGAATGTGTCGAACAAGTCCAAATTAAATTTTAATTTTTTACGCACCAAAACTACTAGCACACTTTTCCGTACGTTTTCCCCCCCGATAAGGTTATCTATACAAAACTAAAACATACGTTAGCATGCAACATGTTTTTTTTTTCTTTTACTTTTAGAAAAACAAGGCAGTCGGCATTTTTCAGACGTCTTGCAAATAGCTAAAAAAGTTTTTTTTTCCCTTTTGTCAATAAATATTAGTTTTTTTTTAAAAAGCAGCAGTTGGGAAAAAAAACGTTAACAGTCTCTTGAATGTCTGGCCGGGAACGCCAGCATCTCACGCAGCATGTGGCTTTCAGGTGTGCATGGTGAGGTCGGCAGGTGCTCGCACGTTCTCGTCATTTCATCAAAGAGAGTTAGGGGGTGCTGTAATGATGATGACCTCACAGAATGTCATGTGCTAGCCCTCATACAACATTCAAACAATGTTTAAATAACATATGCTGCAGAAAAGCTCAAACTTAGGAAAGTGCTTCCAAAGATCGAACCCATGCTACGTTGTGTTGAATGTACAGTGCATAATCTTACATGCAGGACCTGTTTACAAAAAAAAAATGAGTCTGTGTTATGATTTATTCTGCTAAAAAAAAGGTTTCATTTGGAGCAAGATTAATGATGAAGCCCTTTCAGATCAAAATAACATATGCTGCAGAAAAGCTCAAACTTAGGAAAGTGCTTCCAAAGATCGAACCCATGCTACGTTGTGTTGAATGTACAGTGCATAATCTTACATGCAGGACCTGTTTACAAAAAAAAAATGAGTCTGTGTTATGATTTATTCTGCTAAAAAAAAAGGTTTCATTTGGAGCAAGATTAATGATGAAGCCCTTTCAGATCGTAGAACCTTTGGATCTGGGAATTTTTCCAAATGCATATGGGTCAGATTTGCCTGAGTTCAAATGTTGCAGATGCTGAAACTCTGGTGGCGGTGTGTCTTTGTGATTACTAGACTTGAACTTTTACTAACCCAATGTGGTGTGGTTGTGCTTGTTTAGCCGACTTCTTTTCAACATATGCAACATTTTTAGGCAAACTCGAAGGTGTTTATACATCAAAAAGCTTTGTAGACTCATTTTAGGTCCATTGTAATTAAAAAGTGTCTTTAATTCTCATTTCAGGTCCACCATGACATTCTGGAGTCCGCTGGTAGTTGACGTACCACACAGAAGGAAAATGGAGGTGTACAGGAAATGAGAGGATTGCTTGGCGTGTTATTCCAATGAGTGATAAAAACGAGAACATGGAGAAACATAAGCAATGCTTAGGAGAGGTGCGCGAGGAAGGCGGGTGGGGTTAGACAGGGGCCGTTTCCCATCACTTTTGAACCTGTTGACATCATAGCTGTGTAACGCTGCCATTACCCGAAAATATGTTGATGGTGGTCGCCCTTCACCCTTACACCACCTTGCACACCCTCCCTCACCAAAGCCACAGTTCAAATGAGTCCAACACCCAAATACAAACCAAACCCAAACGAAAACGGAAAAAAGCCACCAGCATTGTCAAGAAAAGGCAAGTAAGGAATATGAAATAAAAAAAGAGAAACAAGTATATCAATTTATAACAGCATTAATGAGTGAATGAATACATAGGATAAAACTAGAAGTTCAAAAGGATGCTTGTAACTATTTCAGATTAAAAAAAAATGTAATTAAGAAATCAAAACGAGCTCTTTGGAGACAGAAAAGCAGACAGAACTGCTGAGCCCAGTTTTGTTGTTGCCTTCCAATAGAAGTACATTGGTCATTTGTTTAAAAAAAAAAATGGGCCGGGACCAGATCAGTTGTGATGACACTAGTATTGATTTGATAATAGTGTAGCTGGACAAGAGGAATTGATAGGCAATGCAGAGTTTAAATAAAAAAATGGACAAACAAAATGGCGACTCCAATGTTGAGCAAAATCACCATGACTACCAGAATAGAGTTGGAGCCCTGTTGAGTGAGAAGGAGAAAAAGAGAAAGGTCAGTATTTGTTTATACAGTGTGGATTTCACAAAAAACTAACAGCTCTTATTTACATGCCATGTTGTTTTAGTACTTGATTCACTAAAAGAAATTATGCAAATCAGGTAGGAGTGCAAACATGCTCAAAAATGAACACAATTTGTGTAATTCCACAACAATGACCCCAGAATGATTTCTTTGGCTAAAATAACTTTTAAAGGGTGTTCATTTTAGTGCCCGATTAGAAATCATACAAAATTTCTGTATGATGTATGCCATCTGAACTACATTATTATGATCATTAATACCCAAAGAAATATTCAAATTAAATATTTATTATGTTTTTGTCGTTTTAGCAAGCTAATCACTTGGTGTACTTGCTTAGCATTTGTAGTTAGCTAACATTTGACAAGCTGATCACTTAGTGTACTAGTTGAGCATTCTGCTAGCATAGTCTATACCCTATGAAATTCAGTTAAGCTCAACGCTGTATCTCTTAAGCTGTTATAACTGCTAAGATTGACTTTGTACACTTCTAAACTAGCAGCTGCTGTTTTCGTTGCTGTTTCCAGCAGATTGTTAGGTCTCATCCTTTTCTTTTTAGACTGAAACAGCAAGCCAATGCAGAGTTGGTACCTTGTGGACAAACTATTTGGTGCAAAAAAAAATTTCAATGTACAGGTGTGCACTGAACTTACAGAGTATTGCAGAGAATTGGTCTGTGCACATACAGTACGTGCATACTATGTTAATGATGAAATATATGGCACTCGTACTGTACACATAAAAATCGAAGTATACTTCGGCATTACCCAACCCGTAATCACAGCAAATGTTACAGACCTTACATGTATGAGCTATCAAAAACATCTAGCCCTAGGTAGTCAGAATTGTATGGACCAAATTGTTTATGACATCGATGCTAGGTTTTGGAGTTATGCAGCTATCGTGTACTTCCTTGGGACAGTACAGGATTGCTTCAGTCTAGGCACATAAACCGGCTCTTTAAAATGCCTAAAGTGTACTCGACTACTCTGTGTCTGGAAATTAGTTGGTTATAGCGCTTTTCTCAATCTTAGTTGGCTGTGGGTGCACTGCAAATAGTTAACATTAAGTGTTAATTGTGGCAAGCGAATAGTACTCACTTTGTGTGAATACACTGCTCTCTATAAACCTTATTTACATAGAAAGGAGGCGTGTTTGTGCTGATACAGGATGACAATGACTGAAATACCCATGCCGATATTCCAGCACGTTTTACACCTGCTGAGTGAATTTGCGCTGAAGTATCACATACTAAAGTTGCACAACTGTTAAGTGAATTAGCTCCACAGTGTATTAAGCAGTCAACATACTAGAGTCCTAGATTCACTGCAAAACACATTTGCACACTACAGTGCGTTTAAAGAAAGCCGCATGATTATTCCATTCCCCTCGGCTCACCAGAGATATGGTATTATCTCAATAGAAATGAGAGTCTGTACGGCCTTGTGCCAGCCCTCGTAAGGACCAACGTAGTTGCAAAGAGTAGGTTTTGTCAAGTGCACTTTTTAATTGATGGGCTCATGTAAGCGTGTCGTTGACAATGTTTACAACTGTTGAGCAAAGGGACACGCGTGCTGCACATGCAAGACACATGTGAGGCATGGAATTAGGCTGTGACAAGTGAACAAGACACAGTAGTGTTAAGAAGACGTCGTGAGCACTGACTTTGTACAATGAATTAGGACAAGCGTATCTTATAGGGTCACATTTAGCGCATCTTCCTGTTGAGCAAACAGATTTTGCTCTCCACAGTTGTTTTATTGCAGAGTCAGACAGTTGTGTGCTGTGTAGGGCCTGTTCTTCCTCCTCCTGTGCTAAGCTAATCAGTTGTTTAGATATCTCCGGAATGCATAAATGTTGTTAGAAATGTTGACAGTGTTTAATTCCTTGATCAGGGCTAGCTATTGTGCAGATGTGTCTCATGTTAACCTGTCTTACACAAGTCTGCTGCATTGCTTGCCTCTCTGCGGCTACAAACATAAACCCCCTCCTTCCTAGAACTCACTCTAGTCATTTGATTGGCCGCAACCCGAGCAAGGCATAAGCTGTTCCCTAGCAACAGAGTGTGGGACAGCCAATGCAGGGCTGTGTTGTGGAAGGAGCCACTTTGCCAATTTGCTGTTACCAAGGTGTTCTTAGTGCAGCAAGAGATCGTAGGGCTGCTAGGCAGTGGAAGGGGATAGTTTGAATTTTGGACATGTCCAGGTTGTGTGTCTCAGGCTATTGTCAGTTCCTGTATTCCCTTGGGACTCCAAACACCTACGCTGTGTTTGTGGAGGTTATTCTTCCTTCTCATGCGCTCTCAGGCACCGATGCTTACTAAAACACCTGCCGTTTTTGCCGTCGAATATAAATGTATTTGATCTATTACAAATGTATTTTATGATCAAATATTCAAATATATTTTCTTTGACAAAATGTTTACTGAAATTTTCAGGGTGTGAAATATGTTTGAAATTATTTCTTGCGTTCAAGCAATAGTTCACCCGGAAATTAAGATTTGGTTGCCGTTTACTAGCCCTCTTGTTGTTCTAAAATCTGTAGGACTTTCCTTCTTCCATGAAATACAAAAAGAGACATTATGAGGACTGTGCTTGTCCCTCTTGTCCATTTAAGTACAATGAATTGATACAAAAAATATGACAACAAAAAAATGGGGATTTCCAATCCTGCACCTGAAGGGCCACTATACTTCAGAGTTTAGCTCCAATCCTAATCAAACACACCTAAACCAGCTCATCAAGGCCTTCAGGATTACTAGAAACGTCCAGGGAAGTGGGGCAGGTTGGAACCCAACTCTTCAGGATATTGGCCCACCAGGAGCAGAATTAGACACCCCTGCAATAAAAGTGTCATCTGTTTCTTACCCAGGGCTCATATGGCCCACTTTTACCAAACTTTGATGGTGTTTAGCATCCTTTTTAAAGCTTGAAAGCTACTGTCCCTATTTGTTGTAAATGCATCGGGTCTTTCTTAAGCCCGAAGTATACTTCGGCCATCCGTGTTCCATGACCACGCACTATCCTTGTGACGCAGTTTTCACCATCAGAAGTTTCCACGGATGTCCGCACACACCGTCCGCGTGCAGACCAATTTTTGTGACCGCACAGACTGTCCGTGGAATTTTGAGACCGAACAAGTCAAGAAAGTGGTACTGACCATGTGTCGAGGATGTCCGTCCATGCTCATCCACGGTTCAGTATATTTGGAAAGCTGTGCGGACGCGGCTGTGTACAAGACGGAACGGAAACGCGGAAAGTGAAGTATACCCAGGCCATTACAGTATTACTCTTTTTGTGTTGCACAAAAGAAAGTAAGTCATACAAATTTGGACCGACATGAGGTTGAGTAAATGATACCAAAACTTTCCATTTTGGGTGAACTATAAGTCACTCTCCCTCTATTCTGTGTAGCACATGTTCACTTACCGAGTTCACTTTGAGCTGAGACTGATTCTTGTCATCGTGCTCTAGTGCAATAGGTGGAGATTTCTGTGGGGGTGAAAGTGTGAGGTCCCTGCGAAGGGGCCGAGCCTCTAGCTTTTCCCCCACTCGTAGACTGTCCAACTTTTGCACTGAGTCCGGAGACGGCCCCTCCTGGGCATCCCTGGGCCCTGAGGTGTCCCGGACATCCTGCTTCCGGTCACGATTTTTACCCCGTCGCTGTAGTGTATGTCCACGGGACTCTGAGTGACTGTGCCACTCCTCCCCATGCCCATAGGGCTTTTGGGAGTTATGGGAGTCCATTGGCTGCAACGGCCTCATCTCCATTTCATAATTGCTCAGTTTTTCCTCATCCTGCTCTAAGAGACGTGAATGAGCCAAACTGTTGCTGCGTACCCGCTGAGATGTCCAAGAAGATGAGGGTCCGTCTGGCCTCCTTTCCCGCTGGGATTTGTGATTGGATGAGCTGTGGTCTCGAGGCTTATGATTTGAGGAGTGCTTGTGGCCATTGGCCCGTGCCGCCCCAACCCGTACCTCGTCCTGCACTGAAGGAGTTGTGGAGCGGCTACTGCCCCGACTACCACCTCTACTGCTGCCCCCACGGGAAGGACGCTTGTCCTCGCTCCAACTGTTAGCCCTCAGGTACTCTCCACCTCCACCTGAACCACCACCACCACCTCTTCCCTCCATCAGCACCTGGATCTCTTGTGTTCCTCCACGCTCCTCATCCACTGCAGTCTGTCGCAGAAAGCGGGCATTTTTGGTGCGATCGGAAGATTTGGTGGTTGGGCTTCGGGGAGGCGTGGAGGGCCTGCTGGGAGTGGGGCTTACGTCTGGGGTAAGGTCTGGGGGTGTGGAGCCCTTCATATAGAGCTCAGTACTGTCCGCGGTCCCACTGGAGATAACTTCCACGTCGTTCTCACTCGAGTTCTGCTGTTTGGGTCGCTGGCACTCCACTCCTACTCGGAGACAGAGAGACAAGTTTTAATTTTAAAACATGTAGGCATGCCACACTTTAAATGTTGTACTTCATTCTGCAAAGGGGGTGTATGGAATGGCAACATGCCCTTGCATAAGCTTCCATCTGTCTTGAGAAAAAAAAGTGTACATAATTAAGATTATACTGAAATTCTTTTGTGCAGACCTAAATCAAACTCTTATTTTCTAGGCATAGTTTCAGAACTTTTTTTTTTTGTGCAATGTTTTTCGTATGTTTTTCGCTATGTTCCAAGTCTTCTGAAGCCATAGGATAGTCATAATTGTCATTATGAAATGAAAATCATTAGTCTGTAATCATTTGAGTTTGTTCAATTTCGAAAATGGGGTGTTGATGTGCCATTCTAGGTTTGATGTCATTGACACTAAAATTCCATTGATTATCCTTTGGGTTTTAACCAAATGTGGCACCTCAGTTCAAATATGCAGATTATGATTGGTAGCTTATGATCAGCTTATGATATTTGCCAGTATTTTAATATTGGTGCATCCCTAATGTTTTGTTTTGATCTTTTTTTGGAGTTTTTGTCCCTATATAAACTGTAGCTATATATGGGAATGAGCTGCAAGAAGATTCTTCAGAAATTCTCCTCTTGTGTTCCACAGAAAAAAAAAATTTGGTTAGTGGGTTTGAAACAACGAATGAGTGAGTTAATCATAACAGAATTTAAAATTTTTGGGTGAAGTTTTCCCATACAACCCTTGATTGCTTGAAGCACATGGGCCGTTCCTGGTAAGCTTGATACAGTGTAACTTATCAAAGCTTTCCAGAGTCAGCACCATGGCTGCTCTAATCAGCTCGGCTAATGAGACCCGAAGAATTTCAAGTCTGTTTGCGCTACAGGTACACATCCCTATGCACCCGTAAGTACACTTTCAACTTAACCTCATAAAGGCTTGTACTCCAACTGTAAACATTATTTACAAATCTGTTGCAAGTCAGCACATCTCAACCAAGTTTGTTCTAACAATTCTAAGGTCATCTCATGACATAACTTTATCATTTAGAAATATCAACCCTTCCAGGAGGTCGCATACACTGATCCAGCACAGCGTGAGTGCTTATAGCTCTCCTGTAAAGGGGTGTTTTGTGATAGGATGTGATTTGAGAGTGTATAAATTCTACAAATGTGTGGGGGTGTGACAGTGACCGAAAGTGTGACTGCATATACTGTATGTGTGTTTATATATGTGGGTGGTGTGAATATGTATGTGTGGGTATAGTGTGTGCATGCATACATTTCAATGTGTATGTCGGCTAGCTTTGCGTGGGCTTGTCGGAAAGGTCAGCGCTGACCTCCCCTCATCTTCTTATTGCCTCTTCTATCACTCATTCCCCCCGCATGGCACAGTGGGGGCATCGACCCCTACAGTCCTGAACCCATCCGGCACCTACACTCACACACACAGATGCTTTCACTGACACTCTGCCATTCTTCTTCTGAGCTATTACTAAAACACTCATATAAATCTACTTCTGAGTAAATCCTGCTCTTCTTTTTTGAGAACTGATGAAAAATATTAGCACCTTTCAAATCACAGTAGGAGAGTGTTTTCAAAGTTAACTTCTTGGAATATTTAGCATTCATAGTTTACTGGAAAGCTTAGTCGCACTGTCAAAAGTTTGAAGTCCCTGTTATTTTTAGTCTCCATACTCGGGTGGTTGCACTCACTGTTTCCTCGGTGCTGGAAAGAGGGGGAGAACTCTTTGGCGGTGATCCGGGCCAGCCTGCACTCTTCCTGGGCCTTCTGCGCCGCTGTCATTGCGGCATCGGCTTTCCCTCTGGCGTGAATTGTCCTGGGACAAAGACGTTGAGATGTGGAGAGAAAGACAGAGTTAGAAAAGGACAGGGTTTGTGGGCATGTGCTTAAGGTGAAGTGTGCAATTTGTGAGTCACTAGTGTCACCAAAAATAATTCGTTTTTAACTCAACGAATCTCAGTTATTCCATGGTCTGTCTGAATACTGGATTCTGATTGGCTGGCAGATATGCAGTAAAACCGTTTAATGCACAGGAAGTTCCAAGTCAGTTTAATCACCGTTCTATATTAATGAGCTGCTTTAATTGATGCACACTAACCAACACACATCACTCGCGTGCACACACACACACACACACACACACAGACAGAGAGAGAGGTCAGAGATCGCTGATTGTGTTGCACACATGCACAAACTTGTTGTCAACGCTTCCCCGTGATTTTTATTAATAAAATAGCCTAGATACTAGATCGCTACATTATATTCCCCAGCAACGAGGTGATAAAATCGCTGTTTTTGAAGGAATTGTTTGTAGAGAGAGATGCGCAGACGCAGCAAACAGGTTACACACAACTGTCACTGTCAGAATGTAAAAATTATATATATACACACACACACACACACACATATATTTGTTTGTTTATATGGCACAATAAGACGAGGGACATTTTATAAATAATTTTTTTTTTTAATTTCGTCTTCTTTTAAGTCAAAATGTATACTATTTACTTTTTTCCCCTGCAAGTTCTTATTGTAAATTAATCATTGATGCACATTTTAATCTTAAATCAAAGTGTAATAACGTGCTCTTCCTCTAAAAGGTCTTTATTTTTCTTTTCCCATATATTTAAACATTGTTTTTGCAAACTCTTTCAGATTCAGATCTGACTCCATTCTGGTATGCAATGCACACTTGACATGATTTAATCAATTTCTGATCTATCAAGTTCCACCGTACTTTTTTTGTAGTTGTTGTTGTTTGTTGTGGAATAGGTCCATCTAGTTTTATTAAAACTGTGTCACATTGCATAACGTTTTACACTGAAATTTCAGTAATCCTATAGCAAAAGTACACTTTAATATAGGCCTACCATTACAGTATTATCAAGTTTTATGGATAGTGATTTGGTTGTTCGGTTTTAATTGGGAAAACCTTGCTCTATGAAGCAGACCACAGCAAAACACACACAGCATATGGTTTAGCCAATGAACATTCCGGTCATTAAATTTATAAGGCACACGCTTCAGTGCCTACAAAGATCTTGACACTCCGATTATCCAAGGGTTGACGATAAATACAGGCTGAAGGCAAACAATTACACAGCAGTCACACATCCTCACTCTGAGAGACGCTCTCGGGACTCCAAGGAGTCATGCCTTTGTGACACTGTAATTCTCACTTGTTTTAACTCTGTAAACTTGCCAAGACTCCACTTCATGATCTGTAAAACCAACTTTACTGCAGTTTAAATAACCATGTTCGAATGTAAATATCACATGCTGTCAAGTAGGCTAGTTGCAAAACAGTTTACCGAAACTCTCTCCAGGATGTTTGAGGGAAAATTTTAATGCTTTAGGCTAAACATTTTCTGAATCCTCTGCAATGCATGTATTGTTTATTGTTAGCCTTGGACCTCAAGCACAGAGGCCGAAATCATGCCGCGTTTCCACTGTCGGGCCAGTAGCCTCGCGGCACTCCTGTAAAACCCGACCTAAACACTCCTTCACTGGACTACGTCACACAGTTCCACCAGCGAGAGGGAGATGAATGAAATAAATCGCTAAACAAATATATCAGAAGCTGTCGTTTAGTTTTTATTTACAAACTTGGACACCACACGCGGCTATTGACTGACCACGAACAGGATATAGAACTTACTTGCTGCATTTTTGATTTGGTAATGACTCGCGGTCTTGCTGTTTTTTTTTTTTAACAATTACATTTTGGGCTAAAAGTGTGTTGTAACGCATGCATTACTGAACATGTACCGAGTAAAATATTACTGAAAATTGATTAGTAATGCCTTACACTACTGCGTTACAGCAAAAAGTAATCCGTTACTGTAATGCGTTACTGTAACGCGTTACTCCCAACACTGATTGTTTCCCATCTGGACCTCTAAGAACAGGCAACAGTGCTTGCTTCGGCTGCTAAATAATTCACTGAGGAAATCAATGTGGTCTGTGTCTGAGACAATAAAAGAGAGTTAGTGTTCACAACCTCGCCTTTTAATGTGTGATTCCCATTCATCGCACCCATCTGTTTTACCTTTGTGCGATCGAGACTGACTTTGCATGATGACGCACAGCATCATGCTGGCAGGGTCGCTGGATTGTGTATCCAGTAAATAGAAAACAAGATAAATTGATTTAGTGGCAAATTGCATGAGATAAGAAAATATGACTTGAATTGAGTTAAATTGGCAAGATAATATTATGAATGTATTAATAATTTAATTTAATTTCGGTTTAAATTAAGTTTGTTAGTTGACTGTTTTAGTCAATTATATAGAAATGTATTATTTAATTAATATAACAATTAATACAATTGTTTAAATGACATTTTATAAATTAATATTTAAGAATGAAGTATTATTAATTTAATTTAATTTAGTTTGAAATAGTTTATCAGTAGTTACTATTTTTAAATCGTTATTAATAGTAAATAAATATTTCAGTTAGTCATTTAATTAAAATTGTATTAATACAATTATTATTACAGATATTAAACAATTTATACAGTTGTTTAAATATTATTACATTTTATTGAATAAATATTGAAGTGTAAAATAATAATTTAATTTTGTTTAGTTTGAAATAGCTTATTTATAGTATTTATTTTGTAATTGAATTCAAATTGTATTCATTAAAAATGTATTAATACAAATATTATTAAACAATTAATAAAATTGTTCAAATATTATTAAATGTTATTGAATAAATGTTCAAATATTATAATATTATTTTTGCTGGAAAATGAAACAAAAACATGAAATAACTTATTGCACTTATTTTCAGAGTTTTAATGAACATGTGAGGTTTCAGCCGACTTCCAGGCAGATTATTCATGTGAATGGACCGCATGAACCATGAGGATGCTCTCCCTTTCTCACTGAACTTTTTCCACTGGTTTGGTTCTCTCTCTTTGTTTGTGCAGTGGCTGTCTTGGTGCAGTATTGCATGTCGATGCTCATCGATTGCACCCTCTTCCTTTCTGCTCTAGGCTGTCTTCACCCAGCCAGCCAAACCAAGTGCATGTGTGTGCGAGAAAGTGTGTGTGTATGTGAATGTTTTAACATGTGAGGGTTTAAATGGGGCCATAGCATGTGGTGTGGTCAGAACATGTGGGCGCGAGAGCATTTCGAGTGTGTGTGTGTGCGTGTGTTTGTGTGTGTGTGAGACGGTGAGCTACAGCGAGGTAGGTCGGATGAAGAGATCTTAGGATTGCATTCACCCCGTGCCTTGCCGGTTGTCCTGGCAACGGCAGAGGAGAAAAAGGGAGGGAGAGAATAAGATGGCGTGGGGTATAAAAAGGATAAACAATTAGATAACAGAGGAGAATGAGAGGAGGATTGTGGGATGCTTCTGGAGGTGTTGAGAGTACAGTCAGACAGTGAGCGCTGGATGTGAGAAACCGTCTATTCACTAATAGAGGGCCTCTAAACTGTGTGTATATCGTCAGACACACACACACACACACACACACACAAACACTGACAGCGAGGTAGGTCGGATGAAGAGATCTTAGGATTGCATTCACCCCGTGCCTTGCCGGTTGTCCTGGCAACGGCAGAGGAGAAAAAGGGAGGGAGAGAATAAGATGGCGTGGGGTATAAAAAGGATAAACAATTAGATAACAGAGGAGAATGAGAGGAGGATTGTGGGATGCTTCTGGAGGTGTTGAGAGTACAGTCAGACAGTGAGCGCTGGATGTGAGAAACCGTCTATTCACTAATAGAGGGCCTCTAAACTGTGTGTATATCGTCAGACACACACACACACACACACACACACACAAACACTGACTGGGTCGAGCTGTGCTGGTTGCTGTTATATTTATAAACTGCTGAACGGTAGCAATGTTTCTACACACTTTTTGATGGAAACAGAAACGAAACATTGTTTGACAGCAAGTCTCTCTAACTCTAAACAATTAAAGGGATAGTTCAGCCACATGAATGACTTACATTTTAATGCACAATATCCTGGCTGCTCTTTTCCAAATAAAATATCTCTTAAAAATATCTCTTAAAACAAGTGCATTTATTTAAAATGCAAAATTGCCGTTTTGTTTTCAGATAATTACTGTTCAAAGTTTTTTTTATATATATTTATTTAGCAAGGATGCATTGAATTGATAAAAAATGCAGTAAAGACGTTTTCATTATTACAAAATTGTCAAATAAATGCTGTTATTTTTTACTTTCTAATTTATAGGGGAATCTTGAAAAAATGGTTTACACAAAAATATTAAGCAGCGGAACTTATTTATTTTTTTGGTAATAACAAAAATGTTTCTCGAGCCGCAAATCAGCATATCAGAATGATTTCTGAAGAATCATGTGACACTGAAGACTAGAATAATTCAGCTTTGCATCAAATGAATTCCGTTTTAAAATATAGTAAAATAGAAAACAAAATATTAAAATAGAAAAAAATACCGACCCTAAATTATTGATCTGTAGTATGTATTTGAACTAGGTTTCTTTGACCAAGTAATATTTGAAATTGTGTAAATGATGTTTGTAAATTTCAATTAAATATGGAAAGTTTTAGTGAAAATTAGGTCATTATTAATTTTCCTCTCCATCGTATAGCTTTTTAAAGCTTATCTCCAATCCCCATTCACTTTCATTATATCGGAAAAAAAGTAGCCATGATTTTTTTCAAAAATGTACTTTTTTGTGATCCACTGAAGAAAGTAAATCATATGGGTTTTGTTCAACTTTTTGGATCAAATTAATTTTCATTTTTGTGAACTTCCCCTTTAACACATTCATTTAACACTCATCCACGTGTAAACGCTCTCATCTTT